AAGCTCAGGGTGGCATGCCAAGTGGGCAGCAGGGCCATGGGTAGGACAGCTTGAGGGTCCCCCATGCATTCACCATGAGGGACGGGGCCCCCAGACGAGACCCACTGTGTCCAGGAGAGCTTCCCCAGCAGGGTTGCCCACGTGTGCGCCTGCTCACACACACGCATGTGACATGACCCAAGTGTGTGGGAACAGACACAGCCCCTTTGGTCATCTGCAGGTCCACCTCTGAGCCAGCCTTTGGGGTTTCCTGCTTCACCTACCCCAGGAAGAGCCCTTGCTGAAGGCTGGATGCCCAAGGTGAATCTCTCTGTCCCCCTCGCCACCCCCAATTGTGTTGGACAGGGCTATTGCGTCACAGAGAGGCCTGTCGCTGAAGCTTGGCACGTGTGGTCTGGGTCCTCGCCTCGCAGGAGCCTGTGGGGGTGGCCACCACACTGGCGTCAGAGGCCTGGCACAGGAAAGCTGATGTCCTCCCTGACTCACTCCTGGGGCAGGTTGGGGGTGGCCCATCCCTCTCACCTTCATACCTGCTCTGGCCCAAACATCAGCGCCAAGCCACTTGCTCCCCAGTCCGCCTCTGGGGCATCTGCTTGTGGAGTGGGCTTGCAAGGAGGAGGAAGGAAAGCGCTCACAGCATCAGCACAGAGCTTGGAGCTTTGCAATGGGGAAGGAAACCCGCTTCGCATGGGGGCTGGGTGGATGTGCCATTGGGACAGGGAAAGACCCGGAATCCCAAAGGCTGGAGGCGAGTGACACTTAAATAGCCATCAAAATAGATGGTTATGAAAAGAATAACACACAGAAGTGTCATCTGCTCCAGATGAGTCTCACGGGTTTTTAATTAAAAAAAAAAATGCTGAGCCTCACACTTCCTTGAGAGTGTCTGCTCTGTAACAGCCAGGCCAGGAGAAAACAAAAACAGAAAAAGCTCTGAGCATGGCACCCACCCCCACCCCATCGTCCCCTTCCCATGTAGTGATGAGGAGCAGGGTCCCCCCTCCAGTCTCTGTGGCCTGTGGGCATCCAGTCTAACTGAGACCCCTCCTCACACTATCCCCCACCCATGTGCCTGGAGCCTGGCCTCCTCTCTGCCCTGGCTCCCAAGGTTCAGCTCTGGTGAATGGGGGTCCTTGATGAGGTGGCAGGGGGGAGCACACATCCTGCACCATGACTCAGCCATGGCAGCACCCAAGGGTTGGGGGCCCTTTAGTCAGGGCAGAAGTGGGGGAGGGATGTGGGTTGGCGAGTCTTCCCCTCTCTTCTCACCCCAGCCGTGAGCTTTCAGGCAGTTTTCAGGGGTGGGGGTTTCCCCAGTCTTGGAATAGGGGAAGACAAAGCAAAGCCCCCCTTCATGGCTGTCAGGCCTCTTTGAGCTGGGTTTCAGAGCTGAAAAGGGGACAGCCCCACAGGAAATGGCACTCACGGGGTATGCAGCCACCTTGGGCAGAGATCACTGGTCCCGGACAGAGTGCCACCAGAGCAAAGCTTGTGCAATGTTCTCCCACCCCTGTGCAGAACTGCTCGGCAAGGCACACGCCGTTCTCCCCAGCCCCATGTGGGAATCGGGGGTCTGGAGCCCCTACACGCTGAGCTGATTTCACTCCTGAGTCAGGGCTCCCACCGCCTCCTCCCCACGGAGCTGGAAGGCTGTGGCTCCCAGGGGAGGGGAGGACAGGTGACGAAGGCCCCACTGAACAGCAAGACCAGACCTGATTATCCTTGTGCATGCTTTGTAATTTGCCCCTGGAATCAGCCATTAAGTCATTTGCCAGGCTGATGCCAAGGATAAGAGCTCATATCAGCCTCGAGGATCTATGGCCCAGACTCTCTGGCTCTGCTGTGGGCTGTGCTGCATCAGCCCCAGCCTGGCCTGGTAGAGAGGGACAAGGTCTCAGCCACAGGAGACCAGGCAGTGATGTGGCCTCATAGCCGTGGAACCAATGTGGGTGAGCAGCTGGTCTGTTATGTGCTCCCATCTTACAGATAGGGACACTGACCCATGAAAAGGTGCTGTAGCCTCAGGAATTTTTGGAGTCCTAGGAGCTCCTCTCCCGTGCATCCCTTCTGCTCCCCAGCACACACAAGTGCCAAGCTCTGTCCCAAACATCGTGGAACTGCAAACATTTCATGCTCCAACACACACAATCAGACACAACAGACCATTGTGAGGAAGTCAGTGTTTCTGAGTCCGCGGGGAGTTGGGGACCATGCAGGTCCTAGCTGTAGCCCTCCAAGGTAGTCTGGACCTCGGGGTCTGCAGGAGAGCTGGAAGGATCTTACAGAGGGCACACAGGAGTGACTCGGGAATGGGGCCTGGGGGTTGGGGGCCTGAAATCCCATGCAGCTCAAGGAAACTGTCCCCACCCACCTGAACTCCTCTGCTTCAGAATTTTCAAAAGTTCAGCTGCCAACAATTTTCGTCCTCAGCCCAGGGGCCCAGACCTCCACTCACACCTGGGCCTCACCACATCTGGCCGGAGGGCAGAATGGATGTGACCTACCCAGTACCTGGTTCTTACCGCTGAGCTGAGCGTTAGTCCCTGGCCCCTGCCAACCCGGGGTAGGGTTGGCAGCTCTGCCGGCTGGGAGGGGAGGGGTGGTGGAGCTGGAGGCAGGTTCTGTTTGCACATCTCCCTTTTCCCCTTGAAATTCCCACCAGGCAAGGCCCCGGGAGAGCCCTGCAGCGTCAGCAGAGTTCCCCTTTAAAGCTGGCCTGTGACATGAGGAAATGATTTTCTCTGCCCCCCCCCCCCCCCCCCCCCCCCCCG